TATTACACAAAAGCTGGTGGCTTAGTGCAGGAAGAGTTTTCGAGCGAGTTTGGAAGCTGAAAAACGACATTGTCGTTTCTCAATGAGAAACAGTCTTCAGCAGAGTGTGAAATATTAGAAGATACAGAATGGCTTTCAGATTTCATTTTTCCCAGATCTTCTTCGTCATATGAGCAACTTGAATGTTAAGATACAAGAGAAAAATCAATTCATCGATGATACCTGGGCCCATCTCAAAGCTTTTAAACTGAAGCTTGATCTGTTTGCTGGAAAGCTAGTTCAGAACAACTTGTCTTATTTCTTGAGGTTAAATTGAATACCCTCTTATGAATTATGAAGATGGCTTGAAAAAATTCCATTTTGAATTTGAACACAGATTTCAAGATTTCAGTGCCATTCAAACAGAATTAAGCTATTTTTACTATGCCTTTCAATGTAAATTGCTAAACACATGGTGCGTAGCGTTTTTAAAAAGTGCTTATAGGTACTTATTTGCGATTTTCTTTTTTTAAAAGCTCTAAAAAGTTCCTTTTTTCATTGGGTATTTTTATAAAGTGCTTAATTTTCTCTTTTCGAAAATGAGAATTTTTCTCTACCATGTCGATTTTCGCCACATATCATGCAAATGCGTGCTTTTCTCATTGTTCTATTCAGCGTTTTCACAGTTCATTCAACCACAATCTGTTTCAGCGTACCGTCAGCCCATAGCGTATGAAAGCGCCAATCATTTTACAGGTTTGATGAAATACCGCATGTGCATATAGTCAGCTGGGTTCAGTGAGATTATTGCTCTCTCTCATGTGCAACTCTGTTGCATTTTGCAAGATAATCTCAATTTCAAGCTTCATTTTCCACCCTCTGAAATCGAATCGAAAAATCTCTTGATCATTTTTTAATGGCTAATATAATCAAGAAAAGATTTTTTGTCCAAAACTAGTAATTTTTTCCTGATCATGCAGTCTTGAAAATTATTATGCATTTTCAGGGATGAGATTTTTCCGNTTACTCGCATGAAAATTCAGCTTTTTTGCCTTTTGGCCAATCTCATCCCTGCATTTTGATAATGTATATAGTGCTTACAAATTATTTTTGAGTGTTTAAAAAGGTGCTTATTTTTTGTTGAAAGATTTGGCTATGCACTCTGTAAACAGTGAGGTCGGATTTGCAGTTTGAATTAATTGAGTTGCAATCTAGCAATCATCTGCAGTTATTTCTAAATATGCCAAAGGTTGAGTTTTACAAATCATTACCAAAGGCTAGTTTTCCAAATTTAATATCTCTTGCCCAGAAAATCAGTGCTATGTTTGCTTCATAACAAGTGTTTTCAACTATGAAACTTAGAAAAAATAATTTCAGAATTAGATTAACAGACAAGCATTTAGCTTAGCTCCTTAAAATATGTACATCTCACTTCAAACCTCAATATGGGGAACTTTTAAAAAAGAAATTGCAATTTCATTCATCTCATTAAATATTTAAATTAAAACTTGTAAATTGTTTTATTTTATTAAATTTTTTTAGAAGTTTTTAACTCAGCTCACCAAACTTTTTATCTCTCGATTTTTTGCCCTTGACGAAAAAAGTTTGCTCATCCCTGCCCTAGATCAACCTATGTCTCGTAGGGAAAAATCACTGGAAAGTGGAACACGTTCTATAAAACACTTATTATAATTTTTTTAGGATATTTATTTTGTATTAGTTCTATGACACTGGAAAAAAAAGATCAGTTTATCCTAAAGAAAATTAACTGTAATTTTTAAAAATAAATTTTCCTTGCAAAATGTTTAGATAGTTAAGCCTTTCTTTCTTCATAAAATTTGAGATGAAACATAATCCACAGCTCTTTCTGTCATGTTCAAGGTTTCTGCAATTAGGAACTTAAGTATAAAAGGTTAAATATAATCCATTACTGTGTTTAATATGTTTAGTGTTCACATTTTTCATATTGATATTCTCAAATATAGCCAAACTATATGTATAACTTTTTGCAACAGCCACATATCTGAAATTTTTTTTTATGATGGAGTTGCAAGCAATTATGTGCAGTTCAGTGTCTGTTTATTTTAATTACTAGTTCATGGTGCATAGAGTTTTTAAAAAGTACTTAAAGGGGCTTATTTTCGATTTTTGTTTTTTAAAGATGCTCTTTCTTTAGGATGTTTTTAAAAAGTGCTTAACTATCCCTTTTCCAAAATGTGATTTTTCTTTCTTTACCATGTCGGTTTTTGCCAAGGATTACCCACAAACGTGTGTTTCACAAAGTTCGTTTTCTCAGTTCATTCAACCACAATCTATTTCGGCGTACAGTCAGTCCATATTGTATGGAAGCGGCAATCATTTTACATGACTGATGAAATATTGCGAGTTCGCATGTGTGTCTACTGAACTTTGTTCGGTGAGATTATTGCTTTCTCATGTGCAATTCTACTTCATTTTGTAATAACTTCTGATATAGAACCAAAAAGTCTCTTGATCCTATTATAATGGCTAATATGATCAAGAAAAGAGTTCTTTGACAGAAACTAGTTATTTTATTATGATCATATAGTCTTTGAAAATTATTTTACATCTTGTTAAAGTGTATAGTGCTTAGAAGTATTTTTTGAAGGCTAAAAAAGTACTTAAAGGGTGCTTTTTTTGTTGAAAGATTTGGCTACGCACCCTGTAGTTAAAATAGCTATATCAGGGTTGGTATTTTGTTTGGAAGAAACTCAAATTGATGACTCTTAAGATTGACCACTTATAATTGTTTAATGACAAATTTTTACTGAAAAGTTTAAATTTAGAGCTAATAAAATTTTATGTGCCTAGTGTAAAAAAGTATATTTTTTCTTGTTATTTTTTAAAAAGATAATTTTCTTAAGTTGTTAAAGAAGAATTTTGAGATCTAAATATCCTTTTATAATTTATTTCAAATTTGGATTTGTCAACCTTATTTTTCCCAAATATAGGTGTACTTATATCTACATAAATTATGTGTCCTTATATATTACTGAATATTTTGTTTTAAGATTATCTAAAAAAAAAATATTAATTTCAAATTTATAAAATTTTATTCAACTGGTTAAAAAATTTTAATAATTTTTTTTTATTTAAAGAAATTGATTTTATTTGACCATATAAAAAAATATTAGTGTATCCTTAGCCCAGTAGTGTAAGCTACTGAACTGAGGAAAGGAAAAAAAAATCATACAATTATGCTACTAAAATACTCTTAGAAGGGAAAAAGCATATTAAAGTGTTCTAGAATATGTTCAGTTAAAATTTGAAAAAAAATTTCGAAATTTTTGACTACTTTTAAATATATGATGAAATTTATCATTGTTTAAAATTCAAATCAATTTTAAAAAAAGCGCACCTGTAAAGTCATGGAAAGTCATGAATTTAGCTATTTTTTTAAAAAAAAAATCATAGAAAATGATGGATTTAGGTTGCTGAAAAATTTTATTTTTAAAATAGAATCCCCCAATTTCATGGTGTTCCAAATATCTGAATTTGTAACAAAATCCCTACTCTGAGTCATATTTTATTAAAATATAAAAAGTTTTAATCATTTTCTTTAAAAAATTATGCTGTTCTTTCTAAAAATGAAAGAAAGAACATCATTTCTGGAGAGAAGTATCATTTAAACTTATGTGATTTCAGAATTATTATTATTAATCTTTTTTTAATTTTATCAATTTAAAATTCTAGCTGAAGCAAGCCAGTCATAGGCAATTTTTTTAAATTCCGAAATGAGAACAGAAACATCAGGAGTATTTCTGATGAACAAGAAAAGTATCTTTAGAATATAATTCTGCAGAAAAAAAAGAAAAATAATTTCTCAGCTTTTACTTTTTCAACTATTTTATTGCTTCAACTATTTCTTTACTCTGTTTTTTAAATTTAAAATCAATAAATATGAAGAGGACAACAGTTTTGGTTAAACCTATCATTTTAATTAATGTTATTATAATGCTTGTTTAATTTATTATTCTGTTTTTGTCAGAGAAAATAGTAACTTTGTTAAGTCATGAAAATTTCATGGAATTCGACGTAGTCATGAATTTGAAAATCTAAAATGTAGCAGATACCCTGTAATTAGCTAAAGCTCCAGCAATTTTAATATATATATTTATTTATAAATTTTTTAGTTTCAGATTTTAATTTAAGATTTTTTTTTTACAAAAAGGAATACTAAAAAAAAATCCAAAAATAATCTTTCTACAGCACCTTAGCTAACAGGCATTGCCATTACAGTGCTTCAATTAATTCTCTTCTATGACTTTAGGATGTAATGATATTATTGGAGCATGGCAAATTTAGAGCCCCAACTCTCAGGAAAACAGCTCTCAAGCATTAAGGATCCTTGCTGAATCTTTGCATGATTTGATAGGAAAATACATGATATAATATTATAAAAAGTTCTTTAGTAATAATAATTAAAGTTCTACTATTCTATTTTACATAAAAAATTGAAAAAAATTATATTAAATTTACTTTTCATTCCAATCTTTGATTTTTTATTTTCATTTATTTTAAGATTTATTAAATGAATTGGCAATTAATGTTATGTAAGCTAAATTACAATAAAAAATGTTTTAAGTTTTAATTTAAAAAAATTTATAAATTTTCTTTTTAAAGAAATTTCTTTGCTCATGTTCAAAAGCAGTAGACTACTGAATTTAGCTACATTTTAGAAAATTACCTAAAATTGATTAGGTATTTGGGAAAAAATCCTTATTGAAATAGAATTTTTACACATCTTAATGCTTGAATATTTAAATAAGTATTACTAATCAATAGTGAAGCAAACCTCACTTATAGTAATCAGTTTAAAGTTATCAGTCAGTATTTTTTTTTTTTTGTTATGGGTAGCAAAAACATTTAAATTCAAAAACTGTTCATAAAGCATTCAATGGGTCTTTAGTATCACTATTAGTTGGTTGCTTGAGTTTGATCTTGCATTTTTTTTTTTATTAAAGATATATATATATTAAATAGACTTCTGTAATTTTTAGGCTTCTATTAAAGGCTTGGAAATGGGTGGATTGGACATAATATCTATTACTGATAAGACTCCATTTGTAATTGGTGGAAATAGACCTAGGAAGCAAAGAAGAATATGAATTGGCATCCTTCATGTTATCATTATTCATATAATTGTTAGTTCATTTTGTAAAGATAATTAGATCAATAAAAATCTTTTTTTTACCATATGATTAGTTTTTTTTTAATTCCAATTCTCACTTTACTAGTGTCTCATGAATATATTTGCTCATTATTTTCTTTAGATATGTGAATTTTTTGCTGTGTTTTTAGTATTTTATTGGAATCTCAGTGTTCCATTATTGTTTTCTTTTTTTAAATGTTTCTATATAGTTAGAAAAAATATTCATTGTCTAGAAAAATATTGAAATAATTATGGTATATTGATGGAATGAGTAACATTATGACTTAAATAGATTTAACATGAAATAGAATTTACTTGAAGTGTATGGTATTTCATAATTATTACTATACCATAAATAGTAAGGCTGTGTTCTCTGAAGATTCTTGATGCAAATTATCTTTATTGCCCTATACGTTTAGAAAGATAAAATTCATAGTAATTACCCGAAGCATTAAACTTCATTTCTCAATTATTTTTACGACCATGGTGCAATGTTGTGATATATAGTTTCACTTGGCGTTGTAATTCATTTATCAACTGTGGCTTTAATTTTTTTCATGCAATTTATCTTACATTATATATGTTTGTATTGTTGTTAATGTATTTAAACTTTTTTGATGACCGATTTTGCAATTTGGTGTGGGTAAAATTTTTTTTTTTTCGAAAATAATTGTGAAATGGTAACTGTAACGTGGCTGTGATTTAAGTACTACTATGGAGAAGATTTTTATTTTTTGAAGAATATTTGGATTTCCACGAGCCAAGACATCTGACATGTAAGTACTATTTGTCATTGCTATTAAAATAGAAATAGTATTCATATTTTTAATATTTTAGCATTAGTTTTAATGGTGTTTATTTGTTATAGATATATATTTTTCATATTTGTAAATATTAGACTAGATTGTGTTCAGATAGAGGCTATAGAATTAAGGAGTAAAGTTGTTGCTAGGATAATTATAGCAAAAAATCTGAATTAATACTTTTATTTAAAGAAGGGCATTTTATCAAAAAATAAGGTTAATTTATTTTGTAGTTATCTTTGTCATTAAACTGGCATTCTGCAATTTGTGAAACACAATTTCCTACTCTACTCAAAATTCTCTACTTGAATCTATTTGTATGACTTTAATATATATAGACAGTGTAGGAGTTTTGAATGAAATTTTCAGTAATTAAAATCAGTTTTACTTGAAATCAATTCCAGCTAAATAAGAGCTTTGAGAAATGGTAGGGCTAGCTGAACAAAAACAAAAATTATGCACTGGAACCATTTATTTTTATTTCTCAAACTGGTGAAGAAGTTAATTGTTTTTTTTTGATATATGCCATTTGCAGAAAGTAACTGTAACCGAATTGAACGCATCGTATTTTTAAAAATTTTTTTTAATTATAATTTAAACGTAGTGAAGAATTGTAATTATTTCTGCTAATTAATTCTTTTTAGTAACCTGGTATTAAAATTTTTTCACACTGACGATATTTAAAATAATTTTTTGGTTGAACTTAAATGAAATAGCGACGACCTTTAATATGCAGCTCTCACGTGACTTCGCGAGAGTTGCTACGTCACACTCATTGTAGGAGAGGAAGCTGAAAAAATGGTGGATGTATGCAACTCTTTCGTAACGTGGCTACATCGTATGCCTATGTTGTGATATACTATAGTTGAATATCTTCTTACATTGTATCTTGTGAATTAAGCTAGTTTTAAATATCTATTAGTTACTATTTTTCGGAATTAATTCAGAAATTAACGTGATTTTTATTTTTATCGTGCTGTAATGCCGCAATGGATGCCATCATTCTGTCTGCCATCTTGATGCGATAATAAGCAAAGCGATGCTTTGATTTCGTGAGCTTATTTAGACTTGCGATTTCATTTAAAAACATTTTATTTTTCGCTACGCTACGGTTTTGAACTTGAATATTTCTTTAACTATCGAAAATAATAATTTTTGGATTTTGCTCCATGTGAGAAACTATGGATAAGGTACGTACTTACGTTTGTTAATGTAAACATTCTTTGCATTATTTTTAATTGTTTACTTTTAATTAGTTGTCAATTTTGTGTATTATGTTATCGAGAAGTTTTTTATAACATTAATTGAATAGATCATTTTAGTAGGTTGAATTCAATCTCTTATATAATTGCTCAGTTGTATTGCTTATTGATTTGCTAGTGTTTATTTCAATTAAATAGCTCTATTTATGAGTAGTTTTATATTTTTTACTGATTACGTATATTTAGCACTTATATACTTGACTTAACTTAGTATATCCATGTGTAACAATAGCAGAAAACTTAAGATTTTTACTGTTAATCTCATTGGGACTCAGCTGTTGTTGTGATATAACTGTTGTCAATCAGTGAATGAAGATAAAATAACGAGTGTTCCATTCATATTTGTAAATATTTTTACTCCTCTAAGTGCATTCCTTTATGTTAGGCTGAAATTTTGAAATTTCTAAGGGTACCCAATTTAGTAAAATAGCTGTTTATTGGATTGCTTTAATGCTTTTGTTTGCTTAACCCATGAATCAATATGCTATAATATGATTTATTATTAAAAATATAATGTTATGCAAAAGTAGCATTTAAGTTGTCTTTACCAATGGATTTTCATGACTAATACATTCAATATAGAAACATCATTTTAGTGTATTACTTAGCAGTAAGTAAATAAAATAACTTGGCACTCTTATAAATATTAAGACAGTGCTTTTACTTTGCTATTGCTTCTAGTTATAAATTTCTATGGTGTTTAAAGATATCATTAACTTATGCTCTTTATTATAATCATAAAATTATAGTGTTCCTTTAAGCTATTTTCTATTGTGTACTCAACATAATCTTAGCATTATTGATCGCTTTAAAATTTATCAGTGAAGTAGCATCTAGACAGTACATTATTAAAAGCATTTACACACACTTGTTTTTTTTCTGAATATAGATTCATATTTAATTGTGACTAATTGCTTATCTCAAGGTCAATTCAGAAAATATCCATACTTCTCATCAACTGAAATGCTATTAACTTTAAATTGCTCTCATGTTTTACTTAAAATTCTTATGCAGTTTTAAGATTTAAATTATTTTTGCTTTCAAACAGTTTAAAAAATGGATTTCACTTGAATATTTAAGATTTTTTTAGTGCATAATTAAGGCTATTATTATGATGTGAAGTGTTATATGAAATCAGTTCAAATTGTTCATAAGTAGTCCTGTTTATTATTTTTAAATGCTGCTATAGATTTGCCAGTACTGGTAATTATTTCCCATAGATTTGTTTTTAATCTTTCAGTAAGTAGTGTCATTAAAAAGTGTTTCTACCTGCTATTTCTAGAGTAAAATTAAGGTATACTGGACTAAACCTGAAAAGAATTAGGTTATGACTTTCAGCAGCATTGCACCATGGTTTTATTATTTTTTTGTAGAAATTCTCGTATGTATTAAGGTCCTCTAACATAAAAATTATGTTAAAATGTTTTTAAGAATAAAATCAAACAATTCAGTATGTAAAATTAAAAAAAAAAAATAATAATACATTTACAGGATATCAAATTTTAAAATCAGGAGAAGATTGCATTTTTAAAATTTGAAATTAGTGTTTTATTTGAGTATTATGTTTTTTGAAAATAAAATGGGATTGAAGTAGTTAATAAAACAAAAACATAGTTCTTAATTTTTGTCTTGTGTCGACAAGACTTTAGTTCATTTAGGTAAATATTTATTTGACACATATTTTTAGTTGGTGATTCAATAATATTTGCATTGAAATGCAAATATCTTTGAAATCAAGTGGAAGAAGATTCCAAGTGACATTGAATTTGAATTGATAAGCAAACATAGCATTTCGTCTGTAAGTTTCTAATTAGTAAGATCTATAAATATAAATTGTTGATTTGCCTTTTTTTAATTATCTTTTTCTTTCGAATCTTTTTTTAATCGACATTTCAGCAGCAATCTACCCTGGCAGCAAGTATTTTAAGGTTGCCTATTGTTCTTGACTTTTCAGGAATCACTTGAATATTGTCTCTTTGTATCTTTCTTTGCTCATTGAAATCTCTAGTCTTAACAATATAAATCAAGGTAAAGGAGCTTCTTCAAAAAATCATATTTTCGTATAAGTGATACTCAAATGTATAAGAATACGAAACATGAACTGCTACATATTCAAATCAATCATATTTTTAGTGGTTGATTAGGGTTCTACATTATGCAGTTGAAAACATAGGGATATTTCCACATCATCTGCCACCCAAACTACAATCGCCAAGGAGCCAAATTGAATTTGAACGTCAAATGTTCAAACAAAAATACGTGTAGAGGTTTGCTTAGGGATGGTTACAAGTTGGTTATACCCTTTGAGTTAGTCTCCTTTTGTAATTTTTTTTTATCTTGAACCGTTGACTTGAAGTTGCTTAGTGATTATTTTGCCACAGTTATCAGTTAAATTGTCACCTTTGTGTTTGTTCTAGTTGCTCTAGTTTCATAACGTAGGAGGATTTCTTAAATAAAAGTTTTTGTTTTATTCATACATTCCAAGAAAGAGATTCTCTATAATCCATATAAATACTAAAATTGACAGTGCAAAGAAAGAAATGTTTCCTTGTTTGTGCCACTGGCAACACTAATGATTCAAAAAGGTGACCTTAATTGGTGCTAACTATTAAGTTAAAGAAGTAGGCTTGAAAACATACTTAATCTAAATGAACAAACTTTTTTTCTTCAATAGATTTAGATTTTTTGACCCTTTTAATACATCCAATATAAGAGCAGTCAATGGTTAAAAACTTAAATGTGAAAAATTTTTCCACCTAAATATAAAATTGGTTTATTTTAATTGAGCGAGACAGAATCTCTAAATCTTGTGTTACGAGAGACAGAAGGTTGTACTAGAAAGTCCAGAAAAGGTATTAGACAAGAGGTGCACGTTTTTAAGTGGAGGGCCACACACATATTTGCCATGTTACGGCAAACATAATTTTTATCTAAGCATAAGTATTCTAAGAACCAAATATTTTTATCAGTTAACTAAACATATTTGCAGAAAACTAAATACTTTTAATTTATTGAATTTATTTAAAGTTAAAAAAACTTTTTCCATTTTTCACAATAACTATTTTCTCAAATAGTTATATATATATGAATATCGGGAGGGAGGATATAAATTCTAACCAAAGAGAAGCTTACAGAATGAAAGTGCATAAGAAAAAATAATAATAATAATACACATTTTATAGAGTAATATAAATTAGAATTTAATATTTTAATAAAAGAAAATTTATAATGGTTAATATAAAACCAAATGAGATTTTTTTAAAATTGTGTTCAGAAGTTCCAGCGGTCGGCATGTGTCCCACAGGCCATAGTTTGTGGACAAAACAATACAATAAAATGTACTAGACAAAATATATTGTAGTTATGCTTAATATTTATTAAAGTGCTAAAAATAATAGTATTAAATTAATGAAGTACTTTAGTAATAGTGATGAAATAAAGTAATGAATACTTGTTCCTGTCAAAATGTCAGGGTAAAGTTTCATCCCCTTTTAATTTAGTGTTGAAAATGAATACATATATTGTACATACACTTAGTTATATTTAATTTTCTTGAATCAAAAGAAAAATGATTAAATTATTAATGAAATGATAATATGATTAATTTAAGTCATAAATATATTTAAAACAATTTTAATAAATATAATTCGTAATGTGTCTGTCCTTAACTGCTTGATAAAAATTTAAACTAACATATTTTTTTTCTATTCTTTAAAACAGAACCCCTTATAATAATACATTTTTAGAAAATGAATTAACAACATAAATTACTTAAGTACCATTGGAATCAATGCGAGAGGCATTGATTTCCACGGTGGACAATACTGCTGTCCGGGGTACTTTAGCAAATTTGTGCAGCTTGCTAAAGAAAGTCATTTTATATAGCCTGTAAAGTAAAATCAATTTTTTGTATCGGAGAACATATACCTGTTTAATAATTAAAATTTAAAAATTAAAATAACTATTCAACTGTCATACAAAGATGGTGTCCAATTCCACGAAACACACATTATTAAACACATTTTTTTTTAAAAATTATTTTTTGAGCGATTGAAGGCATTTAAAATTTTCTACTGCTCTTTCTTTTCCTGCAATTGGCATATAAATTACAATTTAATTGATTGTTAAATATGTAATAAGTATTAAATTAATGAAGTACTTTAGTAATAGTGATGAAATAAAGTAATGAATACTTGTTCCTGTCAAAATGTCAGGGTAAAGTTTCATCCCCTTTTAATTTAGTGTTGAAAATGAATACATATATTGTACATACACTTAGTTATATTTAATTTTCTTGAATCAAAAGAAAAATGATTAAATTATTAATGAAATGATAATATGATTAATTTAAGTCATAAATATATTTAAAACAATTTTAATAAATATAATTCGTAATGTGTCTGTCCTTAACTGCTTGATAAAAATTGAAACTAACATTTTTTTTCTATTCTTTAAAACAGAACCCCTTATAAAGGTGTTAATAATCTAAAATTAAAATGTAAATATTCTTGAACTACACAATAGTTGGAAACTGGAGCACTTCATAATAATACATTTTTAGAAAATGAATTAACAACATAAATTAC